TACAATGTAAGGAAACTGTAAATTGTAAACAATGATTTAGAAAGGAGGATTAGAAATTTTTGTTACTAAATATTATGGATGTTTAGCTAGAATAGGCCATAAGGATTCAGTGTTATTGGAGGATCTTAGAAATAGCAAATGAAATGCCAGTATGTGGTTATGTTTTAAATCTTGATATATTTTATGATAAAGGACATTTAAACAATTGTAGTCAAATGAAAATGGAGATATGATGAGAGTAGTATGTATAAATATTGGAGTTAAAATACTTGAGTTAATATGAATTATGCTTGATGACTGTGGCAGAGATGCACAAAAGTTTTTTGTAACCAACTGACACACTTTCTACAGTATGTAAAAAAGGAGGATTCTTTGTGTTGTGTTTGTTTTGAAAATTAAAAATATTTTTTTTTTAAAAAAATGATCTTATAGTTTTTCCCTCCCAATAGCGGACAATAGTGCTTTCTTTTCCCGCAATATTGATATTCAACACTGTTATAGGAAAAGAGCTTAAAAACACGTACGTTGCAGGTCGAGGCCATTGAATACACACGGCAACCCATGCTGTGTTCATTTACATTGGTATTTCCCAACCTCTGCATCTTTAAGATGGGTGGACTTCGACTTCCAGAATTCCCCAGCCAGCAAAGACTTCTGGGAATTGAAGTCCATTTTAAAGCCACGGAGATTGGGGGAGGAGGTAAATGGCCCCAGTGGGCTCTTTCTGGCTCAACGTCTGGCAAGCCAACCTGATCCATCCTCAGAAATGGATGTAGGGCGGGGGTTAACAACCTGCAGCTCTGGAGCCGCATGTGGCCTTTTCATCCCTCTGCTGTGGCTCCCTGTTGCATTTGCGTCCAAACCACCAATGTGCGACACCCGCTGGCATGCGATTCCCCAGTGGGCCCACCATGGATAAATCCAAGAAAATAAAAGTTTCAGAAGAAAACAGAACGTTTAATTCAACTACATATGCTAGTTTTGCAGTCGCTCAGGAAATAAAGTCAGGCACGGGAAAGGTTTTGTGGCTCCGGTGTTTTCTTTTGTGTGGGAAACGGGTCCAAATGGCTCTTTTGAGTGTTTAAGGTTGCTGACCCCTAGCGTAGGGTCTCCTGCTTGAGCGGGGGTGGGGAGGGGTTGGACTAGATGACCTCTAAGGTCCCTTCCAACTCTGTTAATCTGTTAAATCTGCCTGGCATCACCAGGGCTCAGCTAGGCAAACCACCCCTCCCCTCTTAATTCTGGGCTCCCTTTTCTAAGGAGAATCCCAACAATTCCTAGCCATTCCAGCCAACAATGCGGGAAATGCAGTTCAGCCCCCATTGGAGAGGACTACAAATCCTGATTGTCAAACCTGCCTCCCCCACCTGCTGGGGGATTCTGGGAATTGAAGTTCAACTCTTTTACTTGACCTCTGTCCTTTTGCATTCCCCCCCCCCCACAGCATCATTTATAATACAGGAGAGACCATAAAATAAAATGAAATGTAAAATAGTGAAATAAGAAAAATGAAATGAAATAATGAAATGAAATGAAAAAATGACAAAATAAAATAAAGTAAAATATAAAATAATAATAAAATAATCAAATAATAATAAAATAATGATAAAATAACGATAAAATAAAATAAATCAAAATAAAATAAAATGTAAAATAATAAAATAAAATTATGAAATGAAATGAAATAAAATGACAAAAATAAAATATAAAAAATAATTAGAAAATTAAAAATAAGAAAATAAAATAATAAAATAATAAAAAATGTAATGTAATGTAATGTAATGTAATGAATCAAAATAAAATATAAAATAATAAAATAAAATAATAAAAAATGAAATGAAATAATTAAATTAAATAAGACAAAAGTTACAGGGGAGAGAAAGAAATAAACTCGACCGAGCGATCTCTTTTTGTCGTCGTCGTCGTCCCCCTCGTCCAGATGGAGTTGGACCGGTCCTGCCGGCCCGAGCCTGCGCACTGCCCCTCGGCGCACGTGCGGGGGCGTGGCCCCGAGGGCGGTTGGGCGGGCGGGGCGGGTGTGTCAAACCCCGCCCCCTTCGAAGCCGCGTCTGGCCGCCCTGCGCGGGTGCGCCTCACTCGCCTGCAGGCGCGCGAGCTCTGCGGAGGCTGCGCGCGCAGTCGGCCAGGCGGCTCACCGAGGAGGCGACCGTGGAGATGATGCTGGGCGACCTGGCGTCCCTGGAGGAGCCTCCTCCGGCGGCGGCCTCGGCGCTGCGGAGCGAGCTGGGCTCGCACCTGCACCTGCTGAAGGGGCTGAACGTGCGCTTCCGCAGCTTCCTGGCCAAGGTGCACGAGCTGGAGCGCCGCAATCGCCTGCTGGAGAAACAGCTGCAGGCCGCGCAGGTGGGCGAGCGCGAGCGCCGCCTCCGCTACCGCCGCTTCCCCCGGCACCAGGCCGTGCAGACCGACCCGGAGCCGCCCCTCGGGCCTTCTTCCTTCGCCCCCTCCTCTTCCTCCTCGGCTCCTTCTGCTGCTGCTCCTTCGGCTTCTTCATTTTCATCCTCTTCCTCCTCCTCGGCTTCCTCCTACGGCCGCCTGCCCGGCACCATCTGGAGCTACACGCAGGTGCGGCGGACGGGCGGAGGCGGCCTGGAGACCCTGCAGGGGCCCGGCGTCTCTTGGGTCCACCCGGACGGCGTGGGCGTCCAGATCGACACCATCACGCCCGAGATCCGCGCCCTCTACAACGTCCTGGCCAAAGTCAAGCGCGAGAGGGACGACTACAAGGGCAGGTGAGGGTCGCCGCGTGGCCTCCTTTTCCTCTGGGGGGGGGGGAGTTCACGTACTGATGGTCACCCGATAGGGATCGCCGCGTGGCCTCCTTTTCCTGCTCTGGGGAGGGGGAGGGGGGAAGCTTACATCTATGCAACTGGGGATGGTGATGTCCCCCCCCCCCCAGGGATCGCTGCTTGGCCTCCTTTCCCTCTTGGGGGAAGAGGGGGGAGCGTGGAAGCTTACATCTATGGAACTGGGGTGGTGGTCCCTTCCACAATAGGGATCGCTGCTTGGCCTAGGGGGAGGGAGAAAAGCTTACATCTGTGGAATTGGGGGTGGTGGTTTCCCTCACCCCCCCCCATCTCTGCTTGGCCTCCTTTTCCCCCCCTGGGGGGAGGGAGGAAAGGGGGAAGGAAGGAAGGGAGCCCCTTCTTTCCTCCTGGGTGGTTTATCCCCAGTCAGGGGTCTATCAAGTCAGAGAGGTGGAGGAAAGTCGGGGTCTATAAGGTCAGAGATTGCTGCTTGGCCTCCTTTCCTGGCCTGAATTGAGGGGTGGGAGTGGGGGAAGAGCCTCCCCTTTCCTGTCTGGCAAGTGATGGGGGGGAGGGAGTCCCCAATCAGGCACCCTGGGCTGTGCTAGGTAGCAAGTTCTCGGGATCAGGGATCGCTGCTTGGCCTCCTTTCCTGGGTGGGAAGGGGAAAGAAAAGGGAGCTTCCCCGCCCTTTCTTAGGTGGCAAGAGATGAAAGGGGTGTGTTTCTCTGAATCAGCCATCCCTGGCTATAATAGGGAGATAGTCCCCAGAATCAGGGATCGCTGCTTGGCCTCCTTTCCTATTGCTGGAGGTTAGGAAGGAAAGAAGCCGAGGAACCAGGCAAAAGTTGTGGAAGGGATCCCATAAACCCTGCTAGATGCGAGAGAGCCCTCCCTGCAAGTCCCTGAGAAGCCAAGGGTATGGGATGAAGCAGGGGGGGCCTTGATGGATTTTTGGGGGGTGGGGGGGATGAGATAGCAGGACAGGGGGGCGTTGCGGTTGCTGGGCAAGCGGCAGGGAGAGGGCTGCCCCCCTCCTCCAACAGAAAGCAGCAGTCCCTGGACTTTGGGGTGGGTGGAGGTCCCCGAATGCTTGAGGGGCTTAAGGCTGGGACCCTTGCCCTCGGTGGCCTTGGCTTCTCCCCCATAAGATAATGGGGAGTGGGCGAGGCCTGGCAGGAACATCAGCCTGCTTCTTCCCAGGACCAGGAGGAGGAGGAGGAGGAGGGGAGGGCGGCTGGATGGGCAATGGGAGGGGGCTTCTTGCTTCTCTGGGGAAGGAGGGAAGGCTGAGGATTACTTGGCCAGCCAAACGGGGGTCTGAGGGGGGGGAGGAGTGGGGCTTCCAGGAAGAAAAAGGGGCCCTTCTCTGCAGCACCAGGCCCAACGGTGGCTTGTGGAGGGGGGAAGGGAGAACGACACACACAGGACTGGACTCTAGGCAGGAGGAAGATAGTTTAAGGGGGTGAGAACCCCTTGCAGCCCTCCAAAAGAGGGGCTGGGAAGAGAGAAGGAAGGCGATGGAGGGGGCTGAAAGAGAGGGTTTTTGTGGGAGCCCCCCCCCCCATTAGCCAGAGGCACTGCAGTGAGAATTTGAGGAGCTGGGGAAACAGGGCCCAGTAAAGGAGACAGAAGAATTAATGGGGAGCCCCCCCCCCAACCTTCCTGCAGGCCTGGAGGGAGGGGAGAAGGACCTGCTTCCCCCCCCCCAAAAAAAAACCCCGACCCTGCTGAGTTTGCAGCTGCAAAGGGCCAGATGATAAAGCCAGACATTCCAGAGACATCTGCTTTTCCTGCTTGGGCCATTCGGCTGCTGCCGAGCGCCTCTCTCTCCGTTTCTCTTAGTCAGTCCTGCTTTTTGGCCTCTGAGCTCAGTGGTGCAGTATTTGGACGGGCAGCACTGCAGGGGGAAGGTGGCATCCATGCCAGGGCCGGCCTCAGGGGCATACTGCTCTCCTTGCCCATCCTTTTGCACAGAGGGGAGGGAGAGCACGGCTGCACCCCCCTTTTCACTCTCCGATGCACACTTGTGCAAAGCAGCCTTTTCCCTGTAGGAAGATTCCCCCCCCCCCAAAAAAAATACCTCTCTCCCATTCTCACTCACTGACGTTAAGGAGTCAGCCTTTGTTGAAAGTAAAGCTTCCGCTGGCCGCCTGAGGAGGAGGAGGAGGAGGGGAACGTTTCCTAACCAACCCAATCCCAGCCTTTGAAATCTGGCCATGTTTCCTATCCTGCTTTGTGTCAGGCCGGAATGTGTAATTCTCCTCTTAAAAACAAAAAAAGGGGAGGGGGGAATTCTATAAATAATAATGTCTGGAGTGGGAGGTTTGCATGACTTCCCGGCTGCCCTTTCTCACACATCCAGAGAACCGTTGTGTTTTCCTCTTACTCACTCGGTTTCTTGCTTTTCTTAATCAGCGGGTTGTCATTGTGAGGGTTAAAACCCGGGTCTGGGCTGCCCCAAACATGGAGGGGGGTGGTTTTGGGGGGGGGTCTTTCTATATATCTGTAGCCAAATCTTCTCATTCAGGTGGACTTACAGGAACAGCTTCTACATTGCTGAATGATATCCTGGGACCCCCGAGGGGCTGTGAGCTTTTCCTCCCTCAGCCTGATCTCTGACCCCTTCTCCAGACGCTTTCTCAGGCTGGACCCACTCATATTTCTGTCCCACCATAACCACACAGTGATACTGGTTGATCTTTTCCCAGCCTCATTTTGTAATCTGGAGTACATTAGGCTGCATTTGTTGAGACTCAGTATAAGCGTTGGGTGAACCCCCATCCCTTTCTCCATAGGCATCTCCGGCGTAGCCCTGCAGGGTCCTGAACCCCCTCCTCATTTTAGTCCCTCTGTGCCCAAGGCACTCCTGAGCCTGGGAGGAGGGGGTTCTCCAGACAAAAGACCTCCCTCCCACCATCTGTTACTTGTGTAAGATCACTGTCCCAGTGGCAACTCCTAGCATCTTTCTTTGAGAGTGTGTCAGCAGCAAGGACCAGCTTAACATGAGGGATGGCTTCCCTGAGCCTTTGACCGCAAAGGCCTCCTCTTCCTCCTCCTCCCACCATCATTTTTGGAGGATGACATTATTGAAACCCAGAACTCTTGAGTGCTCATCTCCAGTCAAGACTCATTCAACCACCTATTCCATTTTTCGCCACTTTGGCTGCATAGAAATGAACTCTTGATCAGATTTCTCTTTTCTGTTTCTGCTTTTGATCCAAAGGATGCACCCACATAGCAAGGACAGTAACCTGTGTTTGGATCTTCCCATTTTGGGGTGCTGGATAAGTCTCACAATAAATGCTCAGGATGCAATTTGTTGTAGGTAGTTCTAGTCTCTTGTTAGTTTCAACCTTCCTGTTTCTCATTGTGGAGGAAGTTTCTTGCTTTTTAAAGATCTTTCTAAAAGCTAGTGTGGCACCGTCCTTTGGAAGCTTTATCTCCAGCCAGGGAGTGAATTAATATCTTGTGATTCCCAAATTCTCTTAAATGGTGGAGTGTTTATCAAGCAGCCAGGCGTTTCTTGCCACAGTGTTGAGGAAGTAACTTGTTAATAATCATTGAGCTGGAAATAATTGCTTTTCCCCAGGTTGTACTTTGATTTTGGCAGATTAATAAAGTCCAGTTGAAGCAGGGCCTGTTCCAAATTTGGTGCAGCTGGAGAGAGGGGAAGGCTATTCGCTGCTGAATAGAAAAGCATGACAAAACTAACAAGCCCTTGTTTCCCCCTCGATAAGGATCTTAATAAAAATGTCCTTAAAAGCCATCCCTGAAGAATGTCTGAATCCACTTTTAAGCTAAAATATCAGTGTAACAAGATTCAAATGTTACACCAGCAGAGACCAATAAAAATAAATTATTTTCGATACGGGAAGAAATTTCAGCAAAGTTAGAATTTCCTGACTTGTATCCGGAAGGAGGGACTAGCTGGTTTCTCTTTTGGGTGTCTGCATTGCATTTATAATGCAATCTGGTGCGTATTAGGCAGTATGTATATTTAAGAATTAAATACGGGTTGTAAACCCCCCCCCCCCAGATTTGACTTATCTCGCCTTGTAAAATGAAAGCAGTATGAAAACGTTTTTGAAAAATAATACTGCTGGCGGGAAAAGTTGTTTGATGTTGTTGCTTATACTGAATTAAACTGAATCGGCTTTTCATCCGCATTTGAAAATAGGGAAGTACCAGCATTGTCAAAAGACAATGAATTATCCATTCTGAACTCAAGGCAATAACATAGTGGATTTCGCTGAAATAACTAAAAAAGGGCAAGTCATGGACCTCCGCCTGGCGGTTTTTCTCGTCTTGTTCTCATTCTGCATGAGCTATGTTTCATCGCAAGTCTTATCAAGCCTTATCAAAGTCATGAAAAGGGACTTGCCCCAATAGAATGGAGCCTGAGTTGCCAAAAAAGCCACTTCCGGTGATGAATCAGTTCCTGATTACGCCTTGATTCAGCTCCAGGGGTGTTCTGATCTTTGGAGAAGAATAAAAGACTTGGACTTGATTGAATGAATGAATGAATGAATGAATGCTCCAGGGATAGTCCTCGACTAATTCCTACTTTTTGAAACTTCTGTGCACTTCTTATTTTTCTGCTAAAGCTAATCCTACAGTTTTGCACGAGGGAGCAGATTTCTCCCGCACAGCCTTCAATATCAGGGCTGATCCGTTTAAAGAATGAAGCTTAGAAGAGAGTGCCTTCCCTCTGACGAAGAGAGCTGTTGCTCGGCTGCTTTTCCGTAGAACTTGTGAGTCAGGAAAGCGGCTCCCGGCTGCCTTCGGCCTCTTCCCATAAGATGCCATCTTCCTGGGCTTATCTCCAGGGAGGCTGTAATCAGCAGTTGGAAAACAATTGCTAAGAAGGGGAAAGGTGATTGCAGATAAGCTCAGAGGTGTTCGCCAAGCTTTTGCAAAAGGATGTGGGAAAGGTTGTATGGGTTAACCCGGAGTGGCCAGATAGATAAGTAAATAGAACAAAATTGGTTACCAAAGCCCTGCCATAAAGCTCCCAAAAGCAGCCCGCCAAGGCAGGGCAGGCTGAGTTCTGGCCCCTCGACCTACCCATGGGCTGCTGGCTTTCCAGAATGCCCAGGTGCCCAGCGGGAGGAAGTTTGGTTCCTTGGTCCTGCCAGTTGAGCATTTCTTGGGTGGGGACAGAAATAAGGGAGACCCTCTCTTAAGGCCCCAACCTTCAAAGGTCGTAATTCCCAGGTCACCTGGCTCTCGGCTCTTATCGCTTGGGGAGATGATGAGGTTGGGGAAGCCCAGTCTATGTTACTGCAGGCCTCCTCACCCAAAGGGCTTTGTTTGATGAAGGAAGGAAGCAGAATACAGGTAGTCCTCGTCTTACGGGCACAATTGAGCCCGAAATGTCTCTTGTTCAGTGAGTTTTGCCCCATTTTACAACTTCTCCTGCCACCTTTGTTAGGCAAATCCCTGCGGGTGTTACATCAGCAGCAAGGTGGTTAAGCCAATCTGGCTTTCCTACCTGTTGACTTTGCTCGTCAGAAGGTCGCAACACGAGATCATATGATCCCTGGACGACGACGACGATGTCACAAACGCGAGCCAGATGTCAAACATGCAAATCACCTTGACCACAGGTCGTAAGGGTTAAAAACGGTCCGAAGTCACTTTTTCCCCATTGTCACTTCGAATGGTCACTAAGCACTTACAACTTACTAAGTTGTAAGTCGAGGATTACCTGTAACAAAAGTTGGAAGGGACCATGGGAGGTCTTCTAGTCCAACCCCCTGCTCAGGCAGGAGATACTATTTCATTTTTTTTCTTGGAAACCTCCAGTTATGGGGCACCCACAGCTTCTGGAGACGAGCCCTTTTGTTCCATTCACTTGGAAGGGAATGAACTGATCAATTCATTGGAAGCCCCGTTCCCCAGAGGAACGCACAGAGTCTGTACATGGGTGACGTGTATATGTTTTGACCATGATCCTCGAAGGGAGCTCTTGTTTTGTTTTGCTTTGAAAAGGGAGAGCAGCCAGCCAAGCAGCCTTGCTCAGATTGTGTCAGTTGATTACAGGGCAAATAAAAGCTGGAGAGAAGATATTTCTGGCTCTTTATGGTGCGTAATCATAGGCTGAAGTGGTCGGAGACTGCGGCCCGAGCGCTGGATCATCTGTGGCTAAAAGGAAGCAGGAGCTGATGCAGCACTTGGCCGCTGCCCTTCCTTGGGGTTTCAGACAGACCTGCCAGCATTATTCCTGTGTTTTTAATACTCCCAGCAGTCGACTTAAGTCCTAAGACATTCGGCAGCAGTGAGAGGAACATTTCCCCTGCCTTGTCCTTCGTCTGTGGGGAGTAGGCCAGCGTGCTTAGGGAAGGAGGATGCTTGCCCCCCAGCTGGTTCAATGGGCCTCTTGAAACTCTTAATCGAGATTTGTGGGGCAGAATTTTTGTGAATGGGAAGGCCAGGCTAGAAGTTCTTTTTTTNCTTCCTTCCTTCCCAGCGGATGGATTAGTTTCCTCGGTGGACTTTTGTGTATTGGATAGTCCCTGTATCCCATGGAGAGCGTCTCTCTCCCCCCACCTTGCCCGGGAAAGCCCCCAGGAGCTCCCTGAGATGCTCCCTTCGAGGGGAATGTTCAGTCCGACTCTGTGATGCACCTTCCGTAAGCGGAACACTTGTGGTGCTCGGGAAAGAGGCCGTGTTTGCCCGAAGGCCAGCCTGATCCGCGGAGGGCGATCCTTCCGAGCGTCTTTTAACTCTTCCGAGGTTTGTAATCCCTCCCTCCCCCCCTGCTGTCCTTCCCGCAGCCCATGACCGACCTGGACTCAAAGATCCAAGAGAAAGCCATGAAAGTGGACATGGACATCTGCCGACGCATTGATATCACAGCCAAGCTGTGCGATGTAGCGCAGCAGCGCAACTCGGAAGACGTTTCCAAGATATTCCAGGTGATTCAGCTGGAGAAGATGCCTGTGCTGTTAGGGAGAGGAGGAGGAGGAGAGAAGCCAGGGAGGCAATGGATGAACCCCCCCTGGAGTCCCTCTCCCCGCTTTTCCTCCTGAGGATTCGGGAAGACCCTCCCAGATGCCTAGGAGGAGCCATTGAGCTGTCAGGAGGTCCCACTTGGAGGGATCCACCCATTTTTTTCTAGGCTAGGGGACGTGGGATTAAGCCAGCCAAGCACTTGGCTACCTTCAGAGAAAGCCGGCGAGCCAGGAGTGGCTGTCTCAAGCCACTCGTTGGCTCAGAGGCTGAGTCCCACCAGCCCCCATGGCCCCTGACTTTCAAGGGGGGGCACCCTGAGGCCCTGAGGGGCAGTCCCAAAATGGCACTCAGGCCCCCTCGTTCGGTGTTTGATGGTTGCAAATGAATCTCCTTTTCATTCTCTGGTGTCTGACACTAACCGGCGGTGGGGTGTGTGTGTGTGTGTGTTTTTCCAGTCTCTTTTCTCTCGACTTTCATTCGGCATCCCCCCTTTTCCTGGCCTGATTTTAAGCACTGTCGGTTGATGGACACGGCCATAGGGTGGGCTTCTCCCCGAGGCTGAGAAGATCCNACCTTCTTGCCACTTTCTCCCAGCAATGGACCAATTGTTTGACTGGAGGAGCTGGTCTCCCATTTTCCGCCGTGAGCTTTGCCACGCATACATGTGCACCAGTAACTGGAAGACTAACTTCCGGAAACTGGAAGTTCATTTTCTGGCACGCGCATGCACCCTGGGCAACTCCCCTTCTAGGTTGCGTCCCAGATGACTGTGCTCCCTTTTCGGCACTCGGTGCCGAAAAGGTTCGCCATTCCTGGCTTAGGGTTACACATAAAGTTGAGAAACCAGCTAGATTGTTGTGACTCTTGAGCTTGATTTGCCTGACCGAATGCCCAGATGGCAGCACTGAGAGGCCTTCCCTGCGCCCCCTTTATTTCCCCCTTTGCTCCTTAAGATCCCCGCATGGCAGGCTGCCCAGCCTTCTCCACAGCCCGCTTTTCTTTCGGCGTGCGGAAATCTCGCTTAAAATTCAGCCGAGTATTAATGTAATGCAGCTAGTCTGACAGGTAGCTTACAATGTGGCGCGATAGATATTGCTTAGGCGAAGGGAAGAAGAAGAAGAAGAAGAAAAAAAACCTTCTCTGAAACATGAGTTCTGTATTTAATTATCTTGCACCCTGGAGCTCTTTTCAGCAAGCTAATCCTCTGCTCCTCAGATTGCCAGAATAATTACAGCTTTCAAAAGGAAGCCCGAAAAACTCTGGTTTTTTACCTCCAGTTATAATAACGACAGCGCTAGAGAAAGCAAAGAATGGCGCTTTTTTTTTTTGCCACAGATGTTTCATAAGCTTTGCTGCTAATTGTTTTTCCAGGAGGACTCAGATCATACGAGAAAGCGGTTAACATTCCCTTCGCTGGGGGATATTTGGGGAGGGTTTTTTTTTTTATTAAAAAAAAAACAACTGACGACGGCTGCACAATTAAGGCTGCGAAAGGGAGAGCTCGTCGCAAAGGCTGAACCGGTTCTGGATAGGCGGCTGGCCTGTTGCTCCGGATCGGAGTTTGCCAAAGGGGCAACTGAGGAAATCTGGCACAGCCCCACGCTTAAACCCTTTCCCCTAGAAATAGGTGTAAAAGGGTTGGGGGTTAGGGGAAGAAACTGGGTTGTGGTGTTTCTTGTGAGTCATTGCTGCTCCTGGGAATCTTGAGGGTCGCAACGAACAACAACCACCTCAGCCCAGAGGTCCTTGAGGCCTGCCTGCCTGCCAGCCGGCGGGATGCAAAAATCTATTCTTCCTTGCAAATGTGCTTCTCTTTTTTTTCCTTTGCATTTTAGCTGCTGGGTTGGGTTTGCGTATCTAAGCGGTTTTGGGAAACACTTTGGGAAGAGCGTAACAAAGGAATGCACTTTTTTTTATTATTTTAAAAAACAGAAGGACTAAGAAATAAAAGAGCCCATCTCGTTCTTGGCACTTTAAACCACCCAACCACGGTGCTGGGTGCTGGGTGCTGGAAGACTTTTCTTGATGGACAATTTAAGAAGGTAAAAGAAGGGAGTTCCCCGCACGAAGACCTAATTGAAATTGGATGTAACGAACCTTCCAGCGCTTTTCCCCAGTTGGATTTTTCTGGGGAATCCATCTGGAGCTGATTTATGCTGGCTGGCTCTCCAGTTGTGGCATTTACGCCAGGAGCCACTCCGTGTGGCCGGATGTGGCTTTGAATCCTTCCATGAGGCAGGCATCTGCTTTTGGAGAGCAGTGGGTGGCTTCCGATTTTGGCTGAATCGGGAGCTCCGTGCTTGGTCGAAGGCTATGGGGGGCGGCTTCTTCAACCAGAGGAGCCCCCTCTCCTCCATGAAGCTCAGCCAGCTCTCTCGCCTCTGCCAAGCGTAGAGGCCGCGTCATCTCGGCTGGGCCTTTCCTTATGCCTCTTAGACGGGCCTGGTGCTGGGCCATTCACAGGGAGCCTGGAGGATCCAGATTCCAAGCAGATCCCCATCAAACACATGGGTCCCTGAGGCACGGGAGAAGCTGCCTCAAGGGTGCCAGCATCTTTCTCCACTGTCAGCAAACACACACACACACAGACACACATACACACTCTTCTCTCCTTCCCTCCCTCTCTTCTTTCTCTGTCTCTCTCCCCCCCTCTTCTTTCTCCCTCCCTCTCTCTCTCTTCTTTCTCTCTGTCTGTCTGTCTCTCTCTCCCTCCCTCTTTCTCTTCTTTCTCTCTCTCTCTCTCCCTGTCTCTCTCCCTCCAGTCCTGTCCCAGCGCTCACATTAAAGGCCATCGCTCCGTGGGGCGAGCAGCCAAAGCCACAGCCCGCGCATTCCTCTCGGGTTTCTTCCAGCTAAGCACGGAGGTGTGAGTTGCCATTAAGTCTGGGGCGAAGACAGAGCCCTCCCCGCCTGCCAGGCTCAATGCTCCCCGGCCGGGAGCTGCTGCTTTCTGACCTGCACATTCCACAGCCCTGAGATCTCCTGGCAACTTCCACCTTTCCCCTTTGGAGGAGGCAGTTGGGCCAGAATAGATCAGCAGCTCACCAAACAGAATGGAAAGCACACACACACACACACACACACACACACACACACACACCAGCCTGGTGATGCCGTGGCACCGGCAGACTAAAAAGAAACGGCCGTCCAAGAGCTTAGGCTGGGTTTGCTACCCAAAGATGCCATAACTTCTCTCCCCAAGGCTGCGGGGGGGGGGGGGAAACACACACTGCCAAGATGTAAAGCGTGCCCACCTTCCAGAAATGAAGAAGTGGCTGCAAACAAGCCCCCCCCCCCAGTTTGTTCCCCCCCTCGGATTGGGAAAGACCCCATCCAGAAGCCCCGTTTGGGCAAAGGGGTGTGTGTGCCCATGGACGGTTTCTACTGGCCAAGCTCTGGATTGCTTCGCCCGGGGAGGCGTTGGCGCACGAGCCAGGATTTAATAGATCGGCTGTTCCCATTAAGATTAAAGCATTTTGCATGGAGCTCTTCAGGAACCATTTAATTTTCTCTCTTAATCAGAGCCCTGAGCTCAGGGGGGGCTGAAGTGCCTGGCCTGGTTTGTAAGCTCAGCTGCAAGAAGAGGCGGAAAACGGCAAACGGGCAGCTCTTCCGCCGGCTAGCAACACAACCTACGCACAAGGCGCAATGGCCACACAGTTGAACCCCCCCTGCAGCGCCACGGTTTCCCTGGGAACGGGGTGAAAGTGTGGCTGGCGGGTTTTCTCGAGGGGCAGCGTTTCGGCCAGGCTGGTCCTTCATCCAACCAGCCACCTTCTCCTCTCCAGCAGAGCAGGGAGGAGAAGGACTCACTCATTCCGCCCACAGGCCCTCGGGGTGTTGAAGGAGAGAGGCCTGGTGCTGTGGGAACATGGATCTTGGCCTGTAGGATGGTTATTTGTTTATGTCTCTCTCCTCCTCCTCCTCTTCCTCTTCAACCTCAGAGGTGGATTGTGAGACTTGCCCAGCTTTGTGCCCGTTTGATTGGCATAGATGTGGTAGAGCAACATGTTTTCGCCTCTTCAACAAGTTAGAGTCTCCCTCCCTCCCTCTTTCCCTCCCTCCCTCTCTCTTTCTTTTTCTCCCCCTCTCTCTCCTTCGCTCCCTTCCTCCTTCGCTCTTTCTCTCTCCCTCCCATCCCTCCTCCCTCCCTCTCTCCCTCTCTCTCTCCCTCTCTTCATCCCTCCCTCTCTCTTCTGTTTTCTCCCTCTTTCTCCCTCTCGCTTTTTCTCTCCCTCTCTCCCCCTCCCTCCCCCTCTCCTCCCTTTCTCCCTCTCTCTTCCTCTCCCTCCCTCTCCTTTTCTGTTTTCTCCCTTTTTCTCCCTTGCTCTTTCTCTCTTCTCCCTCTCTCTTCCTCTCCCCTACCTCCCTCTCTCTTCCTCCCTCCCTCTCTCTTTTTCTGTTTTCTCCCTCTTTTTCCCTCTCTCGCTTTCCTTCCCTCCCTCTCTCCCTCCCCCCTCTCTCTTTCTCTCTCTCTCTCATTCATGTGAAGATGTTCCAGGTGCCCCCATCAATTTGTGGAAACACCTGGGGGAGGGAATCTCTTCTCTTCCAGCCACCCTCCAAAGGCTTAAAAGTATGTAAAACCAAGTTCCCCAACCATACCAGCTTTGCGGACCCAGCGGGACAAGTGGGAGAGGGGATGGTTACACGGGAGTGGGCTCGCACAGCTCCATTTGCATGAGTGGCGGGCACGCATAGCTGCCCCTTGCCCAAAAGTATCACTTGGGCATGTGCTCGCCCACTGCTCATGCAAGTGGTGATGCGTGCACGTGCTTGCCCACTACCTCCGTGGCCTGGTGCCGAACAGCTGAAGCCCCAGTAATGGACCCCAGGTGTGTATGTGTGTTTTGGAACCCCTGATCTAAAGCCATTGGGTGGGGGTGGTGGAAAAACATGGGACGTTTTGTTTAAATTCTTGTCATCCTCTGCAGCGTTCTGGTGGGACTCGGGACCCAGCTGTTCTATCCCAGTTATTTCCCGAAGCTCCGG